CTTGGACATTTCCAGGGATCCAGGGGCAGCCCCAGCTTCCCTGGGCACCCTGTGCCAGGGCCTCACCTTCCTCACAAGGAAGAATTCCTTCCCAATATCCCATCTATCCCTGCCCTCTGGCAGTGGGAAGCCATTCCCCCTGTCCTGGCACTCCAGGAGTCCCTTTCCTGCTTCTTGGGGCCCCTCCAGGCCCTGGAAGGGGCTCCAAGGGCTCCCCAGAGCCATCTTCTCTTCAGGCTGAACAACTTCCATCCTCTGTTATCACACAGCTCCAAAACACAATAATCCCCCCAAAAAATGGCTAAAGCCAGAGATTTCTGGCACCATCAGCACCACTTCCACCAGCCTCACCCACAGCTGTCATCACAATGAACCCTTGTCTCTCATGGATGTTCTCCCCATGTTCCTTCTTTTCAAGTTCCAGCAGCCATGGCACAGCTGCTCACCAATGTACAGATGGAAGAGTTTACCTGTGACTCCTGCCTGTCCTTCTCCCTCTCCAGATGTGTCAGCAAGGAGGTTATTACTCAGAACAGGCAGATAAAGGGAGAAGCCACCACGGGGAGGTGCCCCTCAGACAGGATGTTTGGAGCTGTACATTCCATGGGCCAGTTCAAAGCACCCTGAGTCAACCACCTTTCACAACCTGGGCCACCTCCTGTCTGCTATTAAAAAAACAGCCAACAACTCTCCTGGAGTTTGCCACAGAAACCAGAATAAGCAGCCAGTTCCTGTTCCCATGGCAACCTTGTGTACTCAGTTTTAGATGGGGCTGGGGATGACTGGGAAAGCCAAGCAGAGAGAAGGCAGCAGTAAGGTCTGACAGGGCTCTGCTGCAGGTCTGGGAACTGGGCTACCAGGGACATGATAACCTTTTAGGGGGTCCAATCTTATAAAAGTTGCCTGAAGACAGGAGATTTTGGGCCAGAAGCTCACAAACCAGAGCAGAGCCTTTGTGAGCTTCCCCTCCCAGCCCACAGCAGCTGAGAAATGTGGGCCATGGCCCTCTCTCCCCAAAAGATGGGCAGGAAGGACACAGCAGCCTGTTTCCACTCCTTTTCCTCTCTAATACAGCAATGCTGCCCTTCACCAAGCAGCCACAGACACAAGCCACCTTGAAGCTGCTGCCCATCCCACTGATGACTGCAGAGATGAGCAGTGCAAATGCTACAGGCAAATAAATACCTCAGGCCACCCAAGTCCTTCCAAAACATTGAGGTGATGGTGCAGAAACATTCAGCATCACCCCAGAGCCCTGCTCAAGCCCCCGACCCTGGCACAGCCACATTCCCAAACCAGCAGTTCTCCTAGGAAGTTGAATATTTCTCTCACTTGTGTTGCCAAACCCACCCCAAAGGAGGCTTGCAGAACCAGCCTTGCCCAGAGCCAGTGACCCACAGAAACCCAAGGCTGGAGCAGTACAGAAGCAAAGCAGCCTCCCCAGTGTGATGGGCTGTGATCCAGCAGAAAAACCACCAAGCCATAGCCAGGAGCCTTTTATTCCCATTATCTTCATATCAAGTGGGAGGAAGGAAGGAGAACAAGAGGTTGTGCCGTACACCCATCACTGCTCACTTCCAACGGTGCCTGAGAAGCAGGATGGGAGGAACAGGGATGGGTACGCTGCAAAAGGGTCCTGGGAAGCTCACAGTAGCAAAGGGGCTTCCACAAATGGCAGCTTCACTAAGCTTAGGAACTTGTTACAATATTAAATCCAAGCACAGGGAGAAACATAGCCCTCATGGGAGTTCTTCCTTACAGACCTACCCCTGAAAATAATGCAGGACGAGAACCATACCTTTTTGCAGCAGCACGATCTGCTGAAGAGGACCTCTTTGAGGTCTTCAGCTCTTAATTGAGCTGTTCGAGCTCAATTTTCCTTTCTGCAACCACCTACCTCTACAAACCACTGCCACAAAGTGCAAGAAGCTGCTTCCCAAGCTGTAGGAGTCAAGCCCCTGGGGAAAGTGGGGAAAGATGAAGTGGGAGTCCAGCAGCTGGAGAGTGATGGGAAGAGCAAGGCCCAGCTGGAAAGTATCTACACAGAGGATCAATGTGCCTTTTTCCATAAAGGGCCAGGAAAAAGACCAAAGAGAAAGACTCTTTGAAAAGGGCAAGTTAAGTTGCAGGCAGTGAAGGAAGTTTTCAGTGCCTTAACAGTTGTGGAAAGGAGGTTTCTTTTAAACCATCCCCATGAGAAAAATGAGGATTTAACTCTCACGGGTGGTTGGGAGAAAAGACAACAAATCCCCCAAAATCCCCTAGCAGATCACTGAAACTCCATGCATGCTAAAATCACTGTGGGCACAAATGGATGTGATTCCATTTCAATTCTTTAGGAATATACCCCTTCTTACTCCTAGGAAAAGACTGAAATGTGTCCAACTCCCTCCAGCTCCTCAAGCTAAACCCTGAATTGAATTTGATTTTGTATTTTTGTTTTTTTCTTGTTCTTTTTCTCTCAGCTGTAACTGCAACATCTTCCCCCTGAAGGTTCATCATCAGCCTCAGTGCTAATGAAAAAATGTGATAATGTTTGTCTCCTTCCTGGGGGTGGTGGGAGGCACAATCTAATTAAAGGTTTGCCAGCAGCTCGAGTGCTGCAGATGGATGGTTGTTTGGGAAGTGCAAGGTATTATAATTATTATTATTATTATTATTATGACGAATGCTAACACCAGCTTTCATAAACAGGCAACAGGAGGTAAAGCAGGTGGTAAAAGCAGAGGCAGGGCTTGTTCTGCTGCTACGCCTTCATTTCAGCCTCACATAAAAGTGGCTGTGCGGGTGGCAGCAGGAGATCCTATCTCTGCCCAGGAATGAGTGGCTCGTGGATGGGCTGTGCTGGCTCCTGATGAAGGGTTTGCCTCTCCAGCTGTAGGAAGAGCAGCTGCCAGGACCTTTGGCTGCTTTGGGGTGTTGTCTGGGCTCCTTTGTAAGAGAAGGGCAGGATCAGCACCTTCTTCCGGCCGTGGATGAGCAGGACACCTGAGTGACAAAATCAAACATCAGACTGTAATCTTACAGTTACATTGTAAGAAAAAAACATCCTGAGACACCACCTCGGGATCCCACTCTTTTTTGAATCAGTGTGGATATGGGTCCAAGCACACTCCCAGCCCACACCAGCTGCGTGGCCAATGGGTCCAGTACAGAGACACTTTAACTCAATTTATAGACTCAAAGAATGGCTTAGGTGGAGAAAACCTCCAAGATCATCAAGTCAAAATATTATATGCTGAAAAACATGATCCAAAACAATTGATTGATATTAATGTTATGTTAAAAGCAAGTCCCCATCTAGGACTGTTCTAAAATATCCATCACTCATGAAATAATTGTGAGGACAGCTTAAGGTTGCACTTCTATATAAGAAATCATCTCTGTACCTCTGATCCAGATACCTTCATACTTTGTTTGGTTACCTTAACTATTTACAAACTGGTTTTAGTTGAAATTAAAATCATTAATTCTCATGCAGAAATGAACTCAAACTGTATTTCCTTCCTTAATCATAGGCTGGATCTCTCCTTTCCTGACCTTCATACTTTGGAAAAGAATGTGCTCCAGAGCTGGAAAACAAATTAGTGAGCGCTTTACTGACAGTCCTGGGATGTTTGTGGGAGCAGGGAGTTAATGAGGCAAACAGAAACTATTCCAGACACCGGGGCTGTGGAGGAAAAAGGTGTTTTGTTGCCATACAGTGGCAGGGACCAAAGAAAGGAGGAGGGAAAGGAGACCACAACATGATTAAGAGCTGTGAAGAATTAAATAAACCCTATCCCAATTCCAAAAGCAAAGAGTGCTTTTGAAACCAAAGTCAGCCTTCATTTGTGCCCTGTGCTTTCATTGTGCTCTGGAATGGAAAAAACCTCTGGCTTTCGAGGGTGGGTAGGAGGAACATGACTGCATCCAGCTTGGATCCATTCCCAGTCCAGCAGCAGCTGCTGCCCTCCCCTGGCTGTTTAATGGGAATAGCAATGCTTGGGCTGTTTCCTGAAAGACAATCATTCACAAAAGACCAGAAATAATTCAGAGCATCACAGAAGGCCTTTTTGCTCTTCAATGAACCCGTGCCTGTCCTGCAGCACTCCCATTAACTTGGTTTGTCCCCTTCCTCATGGGGGCGAGGGGGTCTATGCCATTAGCAGGGGGCAACTGCAGAATAGTTTGCGTCTCCTCATAGCAGCCAGAGGAATTTGTGATGTTTGGAAAAAATATTCTGCCTTGGCAGAAAAAAAGATATCTACAAAATGCTCCTCATGTTCAGTGGTTACAACTCATGAGACCCAGTCATGAGTTTATGAGATGTATTTATGAAGATGTAGCTCTGCTGCTTCATTCTCATCGTGCTCAGTCTGTTTGCACCTCCCAGTGTCCAGGCCTGCAAAACAAACCAGCTTGGAAGTGGATATACAGGAACACTAGCATACAAGGAAAGCTACTCTTTTTGGCATAGTTAATAAGCAATAAAATCCAGGCTGCAGTCTCTATGGTCTGCGACAGCCTCTTAGCACAAGGGGAAAAGGGTTAAAGGACAAACTTTGCCTTCCCTTGGACCTGTGTAGTCATGAACATGAGCACAAAAATCTCTTGCAAAACCCCCACCACACAGAAGGGAGAAGATCTCAGTGCAGAGCATCCTTCCAGCCATGGGGTTTGAGACATAAAGAATGGTAATTTACCTTGTGCTGGTGGTTATTTTATTTATTTATATATATAAATATATATATACAATTTTTTAAAATCCCTGTACTAGCATATTTTCCTCCTGTCTAGGAGATGACATTTCCAGTCACTTTTTGCAAGAAATTAGCTAGTTAAGGCAGCCTAAAATGAACCATGTGCTTGTTTCATCTTGCTTTCCAAGCTGAGGGGATTTATTTTCAATGGAAAACTGGGACATTTCATGAATGCCTGCTGCATGGCCACGTATCTTACAGTCCTTTAGGCTTTGCAGGTCTGAGACATGGATTTTTCTAAGCTATTATTACACACTCTATAATTTATCAGTCTTAAATTTAAGGATATCAGCTCAGTGAGGATTTTTATTTCACATTTATTTACTCTCTTAGCCTTTAAGTGAACAGGAAAATTATTAACAAAACCCCTCTTTAGTTCAAAGCTTCAGAAATGACATTTGTATTGTGTGCAATCAAGCCCTGGTGTTGCAAAAATTGCCATAATCTCACATTTAGCACTCTCTTACTCGTCCTCCTTGGGGTGATGCCTTGCTCCAGAGGTGCATGACCTCAGCCTGGAGATTTCCCTGACTTCAATCACAGCAGGTCAAAGCCTTCAGGCTCTTGGAAAAGTCAGCTGGCCAAAAGATGCCCTCCATCCCTATGGGAGCATACAGGGGAGCCCACAGGATGAAGTAATCTTGTTATGTTGAATTTCTGTGGTTTGTTTTGCTGCTAAAAATCACTTCAAGTTGTGCCCATGTCTGAGCCAGAGATATTTGGGTATGGATGGAGGACAGCCACCCCTGTGTGCTCAGCTTTCCTCCCAGCAGCACCATGGGGCACCTCTCGTCCAAAATGAAAATATTCAATTTGATTTGTTTCTTCTGAGAAAGGGACTGTTCATGTGTTTGGAGCAGGAGTTTTGCACCCTCTTCACTCTTCATCAGAGCCATTCAAGAAGGCAGCCTGGGAGCTGCTGTCACCCTTCTGCTGCCGGAGCCCCAGGCTGATGTAGGGCTCTCCACTGCCTCTGCGGAGCCTCTGGAGACAGCTGCAGCACAGGAGCAATGAATCATTATTAGGAAAAACTGCTACCTAATGCCACTCACCAGAACCTGAATGGCTATTGATGGGGGATTGAGTTGTTTTCATTCTGAATAAAGTCTATTTGATGGGCATGGACTGAACTATCCATTCTGTAGCTTACACAGCACCCCTCAGAGCATCCCTTAAAGTGGGATAATCTTCTCATCCCCTTGGAAAAGCCAAACTGAAGGCTGGTAATGTCTTAGTTTTTGTACCTCAAAGAATTCAGTGACCTTCAACCACTTTGAAGTCCTTGTAAGGCAGAGGATGAAGTGTCAGGGGTCCTGGTAATGCTTTGATGTCTCTGTCAAACTAAAGTTTGACTTCAGCACTCATTGCAGAGGAAAATAAGCAGTGTGACTTCCAGGAGCACCTCTAGGGACTCAGTTGTTTGACTTCCCATTTACTGCCCATGCCTCTTGCTGACACTATTTTGCATTCTGTACACTCAACAAATACCGTGCCTTAAAACCTGCAGTAGTCTGGGGCTGCTTGTTCAGCTGTGATTTTGTACTGCAGGAAGAGCTGGGTTACACCTGTCTCACTACAGACACCCAGCCCTGCCTGCCTACCCCAGCCCTGTCCCAGCCCTGTCCCAGCCTTGTCCCACCCTGTCCCAGCCCTGTCCCAGCCCCTGTCCCAGCCTTGTCCCAGTCTCTGTCCCAGCCCCTGTCCCATCCCTGTCCCATCCCTGTCCCAGCCCTGTCCCAGCCCTCTCCCATTCCCTCTCCCAGCCCTGTCCCAGCCCTGTCCCAGCCATACCAGTAAGCGAGGCTGAAGTTCACAGCCAGGATGGCCACAGCAGCTGCCCAGTGCCAGAAGAAGCACATCGTGAGGAACATGATGTTGCTGTGGTCATTCTCATCCCACATGGGACCTCCCCATGGCTGGAACAGCACAACACCGATCTGGGTGGAACAAGAAGTTGGTGGAACAACTACATTGGGAAAAAAATTATAGAATCCCAGAATGCCAGAATTGTTTGGGTTGGAAGGAACCTTAAATAACCTGTGCCAGAGCCTCATCACCCTCACAGAGTTACCTTTATTCATGTGGTGACCGAGGAACTTGAGCCCTGACCAGGGTAGATGTTTTTGCTGAGAATGAAGTTCATCCTTGCAATGAGGGGCCACACAAAGTAAGTCTGTGCCCAAGATATCTCTTTTTTTGTTCAATATCCAGAACAATTGCCCCTCAACATTCCAAACTCCAAGCCGTCCTTTAAAAACTCCAGATTTTGTATTTTACAAGCTCAGCCCAGTTTCTTACCTCTGAACAAAGGCTGATTTGAGCAAGCACAGCCTTGAAAAAGAGAAGGGAAAGGGTTTGGTTTTGGGGTGGTTATTTTGGTTGCTCTTTATTTTTGGTTGGTTGGTTGGTTTGGGTTTTTTTCTTTTTTTGTTTGTTTGGGGGGTTTTTTTTTGATAGCTTGGTTTTGAGAGCAATTATCTCCAACTGATTTCTTTGCTTTTCCAACTCCTACCAAAGTAAGCAGCTGGCTGTATTTTAACTCTCTTTTATAGCTGGTGGAGTTTGTATCTTTTCACTAAACCAGAGGGAGGGCTGTAGGGAGCATTAGACACATTAAGCAATTAGTACTTGGTTGTTAGGTACTGTAAAATGTTGCTCACTTGCTTTTTCTCTTCCCCCTGGAGAAGCAGGAAGCCAAAACAAACAGCTCTTGCAGCAGGAGCAGCCATCAGAGATGACCTGTGATAAGTAAATTTTCATTCTGCATTATGAGCTATTTATGAAGTGAGCCTGGCAAAATAATCCTTGGGAGATGTGTGTTTGATATGTGATGTATAACTTGTTGCCCTCTTTTCTCTTTGCTTCATTGCTCTGGGGAGGCAGAACGGACCTGCCAGAACCACGTTCCCTGGACGATAGTCAAGAGGGCTCGGAACATCTCCAGGACAATGTTGTCACGCAGGAAAACCTCCAGCAGGATGCTTCCAGCCCCAGCAAAGATGGCGATGAGCAGCAGGGAGTGGATGTGCTGATCCAGCATGGGGCGGTGAAGGACGTGGTAATAGAAGAGACAACCTGCAAAAACACGAGCCCTGCTTGGAGCAGCACTAACAACAGCAGCCACGGCCACTGAGCTGAGTAAATCACCTGCCTGGATGGCAAATTGAGACAGGCCATCATGGAAAGAGGGGACTCCACATAGCACCATCCCCTAGGCCTCCTGGCATCCCAGCATCCTGGGGGCAACCAGGGGCAGGAGGATCTGAACAATACAATGACCAAGGACAGGGTAGTTTTCTTCACACATTTGTCACCTCTTCAGATGACCCTTCCCTTCTAGCCAGGCTTCTGCTGTGTCTTTCCTTCTTATTGCTAAATTTCATAATTTTCTGGGAGCTGTAAATGATAGATTTCCTGGTCATACATGCCAAAATGTGCATGTGGAGTTGCCCCTGCTGCTGCTGCCTCAAAAACTGCTGTGATCAGGAAAGGAAAATTAACAGGAGCTGTGCCTTCATTAAGGAAGATCCTGTATAAACAAGACCTTCTTTTCCCATAGGAGAGTGTTGGAACTACATGATTCTTAAGCTTCCTTCCAAACCAAGTCTTTATATGATTCTATGATCCAAAAGGGGTCTGGAATCCTGGCTGGCAACTTGCAAGGCAACCTGAGGACAGAATGATATTTGTGATGTGCTGAAGCTGAAATAAATCACTTCAAATTGCCACGTGCCATGCAAGGAGATGAGGCTAATGAAGCCTGCAGTGCAATTAATGGCTCTCAGGGGAACATGGGGCAGGGGAACAGCCTGTGGATGGCAGAGGAATGCAGAGTTCACCAGCCATTTATCATAACAAGGAACCTCATTCTGCTGCAGTAGCTTCAGAAATCCCAAACCAGAACCTATCCATGACTGTATTTCTCATCTCATTCCATCCCAGCCTGCCATAATATATCCCCTACAATGTGTCCTATCTCCAGAGGCATCTGGAACCATATCTCAGTCGGGCAAATTTTAGCTCTTCTCTGACTTGGTGTCCAATATCCTTTCCCTTATTAAGCACCACTTCTACAAACCTTCAACAAACACAGCCATGGCCAACATGAGGCGATCCAGACCCTGTGGCACCAGCTGGGAGAAGAAGGTGAAGACATCTACCACCCCGGAGAGGCCGTAGAAGAGGTACATGGTGGTGTGCTGCCAGTTCATCAGCTTCACCCAGTCGTGCTTCTCCCCGCTGTACAGGTACAGGTGGGGACCGTCGGGGACAAACTGCTCCGCCAGCATCCCTGCAGGACACCAAGAGCATGCAGTTTCTGGGGCTTCATTTGCAATGGTTGAGACTGCTCCTTGCTGTTCTGAAGCAGGAACTGGTTGAGTTTGCATTAGGGAGAAAAATCAGGCCTGTGTTTAATGGCAGCTCAGCTTTGGGAAGCAGTATGAGAATTGCTTTCCCACATCAAACTATACCAGAGATCATGTCAACATGGACGTCAAAGATGCATCCAGGCTGCCCAGGGGAGTGCTGGAATCACCATACTCGCAAGTATTCAAAAATATGTGAATAGGGTGCTCAGGTTCATGGTTTAATGGTGGATGTGGCAGTGGTTACTGGTTGGACTTAATGATCTAAGAAGTCTTTTCCAGCCTTAAAAATTCTCTGATCCTTCCACATCTGGACCAGTTTCTATGGAGTCAGGGCTCCTGTACAGTCATCAGTGCAGACTAGTTGAATACTGACATAGCAAGTGAAATATAACCCTTACCTGTTAGAGAAAAGAAGATTTTGATTCCCCCTTCAATGGCATCCACACGCTGGAAACAGTAAGCCCTGTGGGATTTTTTATTTACTTTCTGGCTGAGATACTGCAGTGGGTATTTCACAGACCACCAGAGTCCAAAGAGCAGGAAGAAGCTGCCTGGAAGCGCGTGACCCTTAAAATTTGCCATCCTGTCAACCTCTTCTGACTACAAGGCAAAAAAAAACAATGTAATTATTCAATTTACATAAGTTTTTTGGCATAACACTGGGAAAAAACAGGCTTTCCCTTTCGGGGAGGACTGGAGTGGGCTTGACCAAGCACATGGGAATAGGAAGGAGCACAGGGAACCCCTGGGACCTCTGTGAGGTCCTTGCCCCAAGATTAGGAAATATCAAAAAAAGCCACAGTTGTTTCAAAAAAGCCCCAAATGTTCTGCAGTATCTGACACATCCCAGCCTGAACCTTTGATTCCAAGGATCTCTTTCAGCAGTAAGTCCTGCTTTTCTTGCTCTTCTGAAAGTATTAGCATAAGGATCTGCTGCTGACCAGGGCTTTTCAGGACCAGGTAGGAGAGATAATACAGAGGGAAAACAGGAATGTCTAGGAGTAAACAGCAGAGTGTTTCTTTAGCTTCATGAACAGCCACAGAAGTGGTGTGCTAAGTCCAAAATGTTTTAAATCTCTGGAATTATTTCAGGCCATGGAAGAGGTGAAAAAATCCTGCATCTATTCCACAAACCCAAGCACTTTGTTAAAAATATACCTTCAGAAATACCCCAAAAGCTGCTGGAAACAAAACACTGTGGGTTTGGGCAAACCAATCAAGTCGCTCCCTGCATCCTGACCTGCTGACACTCCTTCTTCCCTCTCCTGAGCATCCCTAAACCAGGACTTGCACCAAGCTGCTGGAGCCTCTGTGCCAGAGTGCACACACACATGGTTTGTGCACTCTGGTTTGCAGGATGCTGGGGGACCCATTTCCTGGGAGAATTACAGCAATTAAACCCAGCCAGCTCCTGTTTGCCCTTTGCTCAATTAGGTTGAGAAATGATCAGCTCTTTCATGTGGGCTCAACCACATGTTTGAGGGCTGCCTTGGTGTGAGGTAGTGTCAGACTGGGCAATTAGGAATGTTTTAATTGATAACAAGGCTGTGCTGCTGGTGCCCAGGACTTCCTTCTCTGTTTAGTAGCTTCTCTGTAACAATCCACACTTAACCGTGGGCAGAAACTGTCTCCCTTGTGGAGTGAATGCTCTCCCTCCACATAGCAAATGTTGCATGGTTTGGTGCTGGATCTGACCTCCCCATCCCAGACATCCTGGTTATCCTGAAACTGCCTTCCCCAGCAGCATTTTGGGCTTCAGTCCCCACTTGCTGAAAATATAAACCAAAAATATTCTTATTCTGCTGTTGCACAAGGGATAATTTGTGTGTGGGGTGAAACATGAGTTGTTGCTGTCAGCCTTGGAGAAAGGGAGTTGTTTCTTTGGCTTCATTACTATCTAATTTCAGGTTGGTTTCTCCCAGGGACACCTTGTTTCATCTCTGGAAGTTCATGCCTGGTGCAGATACCATCTCCCAGAGGACTCTGTCCCCATGCAGGAAAATCCACAGGGTTAAAATTGATCTCCTAAATCCCTGCAACCAATCTGCTTGATCCAAGCTGGTTTAACCAAACAGCTAATCCAACAGGTCGAGCAAAGCAAACATTGGCTCCATGTGCACACATCACCCTGGTAGATGCAGCCACACAGGGCAGCACAGGGGGCTGATGTTCCTGCAGTGCCACCAGGCTGGTTTCCATCCTGTCCTCACCAAGCACCTCTGAGCTATCCCAGTGGGTTCATGAAGATGAATTTAGGGGGCATTTAATCCAAGAATGGAAAAGCTGTGCATGGAAAGGGCATAGTATGAGCTGGCAGCTTTGCAGGTCACTATTAGCAGTGCAGGGTTCTGCCTTATTTCATGACTTAAAAGGAAAGATTTATTGACAAAGGGTGCATTGGGTAATTAAACAGAAAATCAAACCAAGATGCTGTTTACCAGCAGGGCTAGCACAGTCCAGTGGGTTAATACAATCATTTCTGCAGTCCTTTGAAAGGGGAGACTGGGAAATGGGAGCATCCAACTGTTTCCTTGTGATTAAGGGAGCAGCATTCCCAAGTCATGGAGAGGCTGAAAAAATCTGTATTCTCTGGGTAAGTAGAGAATCTCATCATATACATGAAATGGGGGTAATTGCTTTAAAATGAAAGAGGGGAAATTTAGATCAGTAACAAGGAGGGATGGTGAAATATCAGGATAATAACTGGAAGCAGAACCAAACCCATCCCAGAATACCACAACAAGAAGGATTGCTACCATACCCTGTTGTATTAATGCTACAATTATAACACGACCATAGCAATATATACTCAAATATTTAACTGATGTAGCTCTTGCAGTTACATATTAAAGGCTCATATAATGTGGGGCCTGATGGTTTTCCAGATGAGATCAATGCAGTCAAACTGAGATCACCTGAAGGATACACCGATCAATCACAATTAAAAGATCAGCTAAGGGGGGTATGCACAGCCACCTTACAGTGCTTATGTGATCTGGGCTGAGCTCAGGGGGTCATGGGGACTCTTTTGTGGTTGGTGGTCTCCATTCCTGCCTTATAGCAGGGAGCACATGGCTTAGCTGGGACACGTGACCCACAAAACTATTTCGCCTGCTTCTCTTCCTCCTCTGAAAAACATGCAATGGGTAAGCACAGGGGAAAAACCAACCACAGTTATGTTGTGCCCTGAGGCAAACAGCTCTTGTTTATCCCTGTATCTCCAAAGGAAGTGAGACATGCTTACAATCAGCAGGGAAAAGAACAAGCTGAAGGTCCAGTGGGTGCTGGTCCACTCCAACAGGGTGGAGCCACCGTACCAGGGCATCCCTGCTGAATGTGACTTTGTCCCTTCCCTCATCACCCAGAAATGTTTGGCAACACCCCCGTGTCCTTGCTGGCTTGTCATTCATGCTCTTTGCCCCCTGTTGTGTTTATCATGGTGCCCTACACCGTGTCTGCTTAATGATTTACTGTTTCATCTGCTCTTATCACTTCCCAGAGGACCTGGTTTTCCTTGGTTTATAGCTAATGCACCCAACCACCAGGAAAGGCATCTGGAGGATGGTAAGGAGTCTGAGAGCCCGATTAGGCTTTCACCTCCTTCTTCTCACACTACTCTGGTTGCCACAAGCTCTCTCTTTTTAGCCACAGCCTGGGCCACTTTACTATTCCAAATATTCGGTTTCCTGAGGGATTTTTTTTTGCTTTGGTTTGGTTTGGTTTTTTGGTTGGTTTTTTTTTTTTTTTTAGTCCATTGATAGTGTATCAGTCAAGGCATCATTTCCATTTTCCCCAGCTAGGAAATCACAGTCTAAAGTTCACCAGTGGGCAGAGCTGACAGCCATCACCCCTACAATTAACTTTGCCCTTCAACCTGTATGAATCAGGCAGTTCAGACACACCAGAGATGGTTTGCTCACTGTACCTGTCCTTGGCTCTCAGAGCATATGTGGGTGACAGGGACGGTCCCCAGGGAAAGGCTGACTCAGGGAAGAGGCCAAATGTCTTGACTTGTGGTGAAACCACCCAAGCTGAGCTCAGGCTAAGGTGAGGAATGCCACTGAGATGTGTATCTGGAAATAATAAAGCTAGCCTTCCGGAGGGGCTCTTGTGTTGAATCTGCAGCTGCAGGAGTGCATCAAATCCAGACCTACAGACTGACAGCAGCTGAGGTACTGTGCTCAAAAAACCATCCTCAGTCAGCCTCTTCCTTGTCCTGCATGTCCTCTGTGTGTCTCCCTGAATACATAACCCACTGCCCAAACCCAATGGGGATGGCAGTGAGTGAGCTATCTCTGACAAGGAGTGAGCCATCTCTGCCTCTGAGGACAGAGAGATGGCAGGACACACCCAAAAGGTATCAGGACAGGCATCACTGAGTGTGATAAGCTCTCCTGTACCCTGTGCTGCCTCACTCATTACCAGCACTGTCTTATTTGTCTGCACAGGCACTTACAATCATAGCAGCACTTCCATTAGCTCCCACAGGAGCTGAATCTCTAATGCATTAATGTCAGGCTAAAACCCCACTCTGAACCATTTCATCTCATTATTGTCGGGCTCTCTTTTCCCTCTGTGTCTGTCCGCACCAGGGAGTGTTACAGTGACACTGAACAATCATCTTCCTCATAGTGGTGAGCTCAGCTGCTGCTGGAAAAGCAGGAAAGCAACATTTCTGCCTCTAAAGGATCCTTAAGGCGTTTGGACTTAGGTTAAAAAATCATCATCATTGGACACTATGAGGCTCAATTGCCAGGAAGTGTCTGAAGGACCATCAGGTACTGCAGCGGCTGATGCAGTGGCTGCAGACAGAGAACACAAACTGAGATAATCCAACCTCCTGAAATGAGAAAGTTCAACATGAAAGTTCAAACAGAGATGAAAGCTTTACATTCAGGATGCTGGACTAGAGGTCTATTTAATAGACACAATGGATCCATCTGGAAAGAGACACTGAGGGAGGGAGATAGAAAAATTGATGATGGAGAGGTTATACAGCTCTCTGCTTCCCCTTCCTTATGCTGTCTCCATTTGTCTCCTGTTTTATAAGCCCCTGGTTTGGATTCTCCACCCCTATTCTTGCTCTAAGCCCTGTCATCAGGGAAGCAGCAAGAAGCTACATCCCAGCAAAGAAAGCTGAGAAATAAAATAAATTAGTCAAGGCCTAATTACAGAGGCTCAGAACAGGCACTGTCATTCCTTTGTGACCTGCATTTCTTTATTTGTGATTTTAAGACAGTGAGGTCTGACTTTAAAAATTACCTGTTGGGAGGAATGCACTTTACCATCTCCAAAGCCATTTTTCTTTGCCTCTATGTGATGGTAAAGATATTAAAGTGCTTTCTAAAGGAGTGGATGCCATCTGTGCCCTGAACTGCCTCCCTTGCTCCTTGATGTGTGATGGGACAGCCCTGACTCCAATAACCCCTCTCAGGTACCAACACAAAATAAGCTCAAAATAAGCTCAAACCCAGCATTATCACCATCAAAAATGCAACAAAAATCGGTATTTATAGAATCCTAGAATCACAGAACAGTTTAGGTTGTGGGGAGTTTCAAGATAATACAGTTCCACCCCCTGCCATGGGCAGGGGCACTTTCTACTAGCCAAGGTTGCTCCAAGTTCCATCCAACCTGGCCTTGAACTCTTCCAGGGCTGGGAGAGCCACAATTTTGCAGGACTCCACAACTTCTCTGGGCATTTTCCAAAGAGGAGATGAATGCTTGTCTTCAAATTGTTCCAATTGCCCCAGAATGTGACACTTTTAAGCACTGTGTTAAGCACTGTGTGTCTTCAACCTCCAAGGAAAACTATACAAGACAAAGGATAAAAACCATTTCCATTGCAATATATACCCAAAATACCCATAAAACACATAACCCTAAGCCTGCTAAGTTTTTCTGTGGGTACCCCAGAGCTGTGGTCCCCAAAATCCCCCTCCACAAGCACCTCGAGCCTTGGCTGTCACAACCAGTCCTGCCAAGGTGAAGGGTTGGTAATGTTTTAATGATAAGCTGGTAGGAAGAATGGAAAAAGGAAGGAAAAAACCTTTCTCTGCAGCACAGGTGGCCCTGCCCACAGCAAGGGAGATGGCATGCGATGAGCTTTAAGGTCCCTTCCAACCCAAACCATTCTGGAACTCTACAAATCCAAACTGTGAGGTTTTAGGCACTGGAAGTGACTTTTCTGGGCATTGCTGTGGGTAGAAGAGTTTTTGGTGGGGAGGGAGTTTTTGGTTCAGTGCACACAGCAGCAATTTCAGTTTGGCTGTGAGGCACAGGGTTTGCATTTAATTTGGCTGGGAGTGGAGCAGGGAGCCAGCAAGGGCTCCTTGCAGAGTGGCAAGGGGGTTTTGGGGCTCTGCTGGCCCCAGGCTGCCCTGCTCTCACCTCTGCCTGCTTTGGGGCCCCACGTATCGTGTTTATTTTTCAACTTCCTCCTTGGAAAAAGTTGCTGCGGGTTTGCTGGGCTGTCCCATCGGCTCCCAGCCCAGCAGGGACAGCAGCCAGTCCCCTGTGAGCCCCTGCACGGGGACCTCAGGGCAGGGCAACCCCCGGCGGGCTGAGAACACTTCAATCCCTCCCAAACTGGCTTTCCTAAGGGAAGCAGTGGTACACTCACCCTGATCCCTCTCTTCCCTCCTCATGGCATTAAACGGTCCATGAAGGGCAGGCAGGGGATCCAGGGGATCCCTTCCCATCCCACGGTGTGGAGTGACCCCCCCTGCCCCTGGCAGCCCCTGGCAGCAGAGCCTTACCTGTCCTGGTGATCCTGGTGCTGCACCTCCTCCCAGGTGATCTGTGCTCCTCCCCTGCCCGTGGCACCCGCCTCGCCTGCCTCCTCCCTGCCTCCAAACCCCAGCTGGGAGGGAAAGGTGACCTGGGCACAGGAATACCCCACTCCTGGGCACACCAGGTGCTTTAATTTGCAGTTTTCTCCCACAAAGGCAATCCATGATTTGCTGAATTCTGGCTGTCTCAAGGCCTTTCTTCTCCAGATCTTAATTTTCTCAGATTTTGTATAATGATGACATTTCCTTCAGTCAGAGTTCCCCATTTCCCCCCTCATGCAGGATGGGATACAGGGGAGCTGTGTGGGGCATTACCCCCCCACCCCCACTCCCAGGTGCCTGCACCCCTCATCCCTAAAACACTACATTAATTATTAACTGGATTAACTCCTTCAAAGCACTTTATTTTCCATTTTCCATGCTTCCCAGGTTTGATGGATGCCTCTCCCAGGATACCCACTCCTAACCCATATTTCAACTCCAAATGCAATTTTCTGACCAAGCCTCCTATAAAGCTGAGTTTATCCTTAATAATACTTTCCACTTTCATCTCCAGTCCTGCAAGTGCTTTACAAATGTTAAGTAATTAACCCTCATGACACCCTTGGGAGGGAGAGAAGCGTTATTATGGCTATTTGTAAAGGAAGCTCTGACAGGGCCTTCTGTGCTCCAGCCCTGGGTTTTACTCACTTTTAGGGAGCAGTGCAGCTACTTACAGCGTTGAGAGCAACTACACCTGCCACAGGGAATTTGTAGTAAGAAAGCTGGATTTTAATTGTTTTTAATATATCCACCCTGATTTATAAATGACTTGAGGTTTAGAAGAGCTGTCTGCCAACCCTTTTTCTTTTATTATTATACTACTATTTTGATTCATTGACATAAAATCTATTCCCTCTCCTTGTTCCACAGTGTTGTTTAAACAGATGAGTTCTTAAATAATAAATAATTATCAATTAATCCATCTTTCTCACCACCCAGAGAGATAAGTGCTGCTGGAAGGGAGGAAGCATCCCACAGTCATCCTCTCCTTTATCAGTGATGGGGTTGGATACCCAAACCCTCTCTGTTTTTCTGGTGGGAGAATTTAAATTTTTTAGAGACAAAAGCCAAGCTGCAGGTATTTTTTATCTCTTCATTAAATTGTTTCACAAATGTCCCAGGAGCCTGATGACATTTTGCGTCCCACAAACTCTGGAATAAATCAGAATTAATTGAGGGGTTTACACTCACCCTGCTCCAGGCACATAGAAGGATTTACTAGAAATTTACCAAATTTACCCAGAAAACTACCTCCAAAACTGAGGAATAAAGAGAAGGAAAACAACTCTTGAGATGGAGGGCCCGGGAAAAATGAAAAATTATTGCTACAAGTGGTTCAAGTTACTACAAGTTCATGAAAAAACCCGAAGACATGTCCAAAAATACCAATGAAACCCAAAAAAATGCCACTGCAAAGTCTTAGTCATGAGTGATGAAGTTGCTGTAGCTGTTACATAAGACTGAATTTAGCTAAAAATGAAACTTTTAGTTAAATGTGATTCTGAAATGGGAGCCTGTTCCCACCCAAAGCTCTGCTGAGTCATGTTGGTGTTTCTTGGCTACCAGGAAATTTGCACCTTCAAATATTTGCAGAACAAAATGATGGGTGTGTAGGGGGGTGGATCTTACTCTAAGGAAACAAATAACCTCTCTGGGAGTATTTATTGTAGAAAAGACCCTCCCTGATCTGGGGTTATGCAGAACATCTCGTTTCCAAGTGTCCTGAGAAGACACACCAAAACCTGACGTCATCTCCACCTTATATCCATTCCTTCCTAGAGCTCAGCCACTCTTAAAACCTTCACAGTTCCTTAGACAGCCTTGAAACCACATGTAAAGGCTGTAAATTCTTCAGACATGTCCAGTTTAGGCTCTCTGTCCACAGGCACTGGGCTGCCACTGGAGGTGGGCATTCTGGCCAGCACAGCACATCCAGCCTAAAAAACCTGTCCTGATCAGCAACTTGTCTGAATCTTGCTTTCCCATGAAATCAGTCCTGAAAAAATTTCAGAATTCCTCTTTTAGGAATTTTTGAGGCCTCAAAAAAGCTCTTCTGTGTTCTGCTGATCTCTAATTTTCCACCTCCTGATGTCTATTTTCTCTCTGCTTATCTCACACAGAGCTGCAGCTCCTAAACATATCCACAGGAGATATGGCAGATATGGCACCCTGGTGTTCACCCTGATGTGAACATCTCTTCACATCAATACGCAAATGTAGGAATGACCAAGAAAACAGGAGTTTGCTTCTCTGGGAATCATCTCAGAATGCTGTCTGGTTAGACAGTACCTGCAGTCTCCATGGATGCAGCTTGGGTTGCAGGCAGGTGCATGCCGTGGAAGTGATTGTCAGAGAGAGCTCAGAACTAACAGCTCAGAGAAATGGAGTGTCAGAGCCAGGAAATTAGTTATTGCATTTTCCTGTGTTGGCAGAGGGGTCGGGGGAAAGAGTCATTTGCCATGTGGCCACATATCTGGAGAGAGGAGCTGCATAGGCTGCCTGCAGTTTTAAGAGGCAGGAAAATGCGAAAGCAAGCTGGCACACTGGCCACACACAGACATTTGTCTGGTCCCTTGCTGGAACAGTGATGTATTTTCCAATCAAAATGATGATGTCTTGTTTTCCTTCTCCTCCTCCTGCACCCACAAAGCTTGCCTGTGTAATGAAGGCAAAAGGTTTTGCACTTAGATGCTCCCATTTCTAAGTGAGCCACCTCCTGGTGGCACCTCCCTAAGCCCTCCTGGTACCCAGGGAATGATCCCTCACAGCATCCTCCCATCTCAGTTTTGTTTGTCACCTGAGTGCTCACCCATTGTGTGCAACCCAGAATTCCAGTGGTGCTGAAGTGCCTTGGAACAGGGGAAGGGGCGGAAACAGAGACCTGCAGCTGCTCCACAGTACCATCACCTAAATTTATTCCTCTTTTTGCGCCACTTCTGTCCACACATAGAGAAAGATGTGGAGTGTAAAGTGCCCTGGGAGATGACAAGGGACCCACCAGACTCTCCCCAAAATGTGACCTAATTCTTGCAAATGCTCTGTTCTCATGCAAAAAGGTTGAGGAAGGAGTTGGCCAGATGACAAAAGGAGGAGGTGAATAAATCCAATATGGCACAACTGCAGCTGTGGAGAGCAAGCAGCACCCGTGCACAGCCAGGAGGAAAAGGGGCAGAACGGGGCAGGAAAGGTGATGTAAGCAAAGATAACCCCAGAAATGTCTCTGTTACAGCCCTGTGATGGGAGCCCAGCTAGGTAAGAACAGGCGAGAATGAAATAAAAGCAGGGAGGGCTCAGCCCTGATGTGATTCCAACTGCATCAGTCCCAGCTGTATGCCAGAATTGAAGCATGCTTGGACATGGCAAAAGCATTAATAAGGGACAGAAAAGGAAATTTGTGTAGCCAGCTGAAAGAAGAGGATGAGAAAGAGAAGGCAGAGCATGAGAAAAGTGGCAACAGAGAGGGAGCTTCAGGGAGAGGTGGTGAAGGTTAAAGATGAAAACAACAGCACCTAAAAAGAAGCACAAAGTGGCCAACCTGTGGGAAATTTTAACAGGATAAAAAAATAACTCACAGCTGATGAGCAGTTAAAAAAAATAAATGGGAACACAAGGAAATGTGCCCTTAAAACACCTCAGATGGAGAGTGACCCATCCAGAAGAGGTGCAGGGGAGCTGGGCAACCCTCAGGGCTGCTCCATCAACATTGTCCCTGGGAGCCAGACAAAATTAAATCTTCACATCCTGGGAGGTTTGATTTGGGGACTTTTGCCCTCCATCCAGCTGCCATTCAGCAATGATGGAGCAAGGGCACATCTCGGTGGCAGAGGGAGGAATATCACCTCCCCAGCCAGGCTTGGCCTTGCTACTCATACCCAGATCACCTAATAAAACAAGAGGAATTTGGGCAGAGGAATTCGTTCATCTTCAACACCTGGAGCTGGAAGAAATGTCTCTGAGTGCCAGTGAGATTACTGGGGATATAAAGCTGTGAGGAGCCAGAAGGTTCAGATGTGGTGGGTAATTTCATCTGAAAAGAGAGAAAATCAGTTCATCATTTTGACATGTTAACACCGAGCCCTTTGCTTTTGAAATTAGAATTGGGAAGTGTCATTCACACTGATATTTCATTGTTTTCTTTCTTGTAGTCATCATCTTTACAATCTTCTCCCCTCTTATCCTTCTCTCCAGCACTCCTGCTCCAACTATATTTCCCAAGTAAACATTTATCATTTCTGCTACATTTCATTTAATTTTCAATCTTAAAAGTTGAACCACCATAAAAAGATACCACGGAAAACTATACCTAGGGTCAGGGAAGAAAAGCAAGTTCAAACCCCAGCATTTATTGACCTTTAAGCAATGGAAACACGACTCTGATAGGGTGCAAACCAGCATCTCCCCCACTCTCTGCAGAAGCAACTTTGGATGTCAAAGCAATCTACCCTTCTCTGTAAATTCATCCCCACAGAGGAGGATGCTTTGGGAAGCAGTTGCTGAAGTTTTTGGGAGCAGCCTTCACACCCGAGAGCTGGCACTGGGGATTTGTATTGTTAAACGGCTGGAGAGAGGAGGGCACTGGGGCTGGAAGGGTTAATTGTGGATGGCGGGATGCGGGATGCCTCCCCAGCCTCGGGGACCAGACGCGTCCCGGATGTGCAGAACGGAGCCCCGGGGATGTTTGGGAACACTAGGTGGTGCTGAGGGCTCACGGAACGGATCCCGTTCTGTCGCAGAGGGATGCTCCGGGGTGCGAGGGTGAAGGCCTGGGCGGGGAAAGGGCAGGGGCTGCAACCCCTTTTGGGGGTTGGCTGGGAGCCCAGGTGTGAGAAGCTCCTTGGGTGACTTTGCCACACCCCTCCCTCTCCAAAGGCACTTGGCCAGCAGCTGGACAGCTGCCCTGGTTTCAGGAAAGCCAGCTCTGTCCCAGTTTCTTCTCCCTGTTTCCCGGGGTTATACC